GCAATGTAGGGTGCCCCGTAACGCGATTTACGATCAGTACACGGATCCCAGCTCACTGACGGCCGCTTCGAAATGCGTCACAAATATTCTTTCTTAGAATTCCGTTTTGGTGTGGGCTCAGTGAATTTTGGCCGCTTAGTATACACAGAAACCAACTGAGCGAAATCTCGGGCGTCTCTCAGCTGATAAGCGAATGCCGCGACAGGCTCATTCCGAATCCTCACCCATTCACTCCGACGTTATTCGACGCCAGATAATCTACTCAGTTAAAGCAACGTTTGAATTCATTTAAAGCTGAAATTCGCCTAAATAATACTTAACAATCCAGTCCGTACCGCGAAGAAAACACAACGCTTCACCATTACAAAGATCAAATGGTTAACGCTGTTTAAGGAAATAATCGCTGTTTACGCTGAGAGTCATAACGAAAGCCAACAGTCCGTGGAGAAATGCAGATTTATTGAATGGCGAAGCGAGTGGTAAATGTGGGCGAAACTTTGCCTTCAAGTGCTTACTGAACGGAACTTTCATTTTTAATCACTGAGCACCATTTAACAGGGTACAGCTGAGCTAGGCAGTTCTTTACGTCCAACAGGGAATCTCAAAGGTCATGACACTTCGTGTGGGTGGGAGCGGTCGGACCTGAACCGGAAAATGTTTTGGCTATAATCGCGTAAGCAGACCACGGGATTCACCGGTGACAAGTGTTCACTGTCGTTATCGTCTCTTGTTAAGGTAATGGGACAACAGAAAATTTATGAGACGTGGGTTGGTCTACCGAAAACAGCTTGAAAGACAAAAACAACCACTAGCAGGTTTACTCTGCATTCTGGAGGCATCCACCCCGAAGCAGGGGGGGGGGGGGGAGAGAGCTCGCCATCATCACGTGGCAAGTGGTTCAGCGCCCTTAGACAGAGTAAACACCGCAGAAAAGCAAAAATGAAACACCAGGAGCAAACACGAGATGTTCGAACGCCATCGCAGGGCAGGGCGAACAAATGTTAACAATCCTTGTCATAAAATCATGCTTCAGGCTCTGATGAACCACGAAAGTCGCCGGTTACCTTTCGTAAGAGATGATCTACTTTAAATCGCGAACACATTTCGCCTGTAAGGAGCGTACATTTCCGAAAATTCGCTAAAACCAAAGTAAACTTAAGAAGCTGTTGCCACGAGACGGAAGCTCTGGTTACAGTCGATACCCAGTGACGTCGATTTAAATCCCACCCCCTGCGTGACCTGACGCGGGAGGACGAGTTTCCACCTCAGCAGATCCTCCGTCACTTAAAATCGATCGGATCGCTCACTCAGCGAAAAGTAGATACAAGCGGTCGACAAATGCACATTCCGACATGGGATTCTCGACTTCATCACCACACATAAAGTCGTAATCCGAACGTCAATATCTGATTTGCACTGTTCCAAATCATTCCAGACCGCTATTCGCCGTGCCAGACTCACACATGCAAAATGCAGCGGTGGGTTCGTAGCAAAATATTATCCACATTATTCTACACAAATTTATTTTTATTTCCCGAACAAGTAAGCAACTCTTACCACAGCCTCGACGCTCCGAATGACGGAAGTTTCAGTGAAAGAAACCAGAACGTGTCGACGTGTCTTGCGCCACTTTCGCACGCAACTGCCGTCGAAGACGTAAAACTCAAACATCAGACGCGCAAGGAACGTCGCTGTTCGCTGCCGAGCTCCGTTAATGTCGCGAAATTCCATATTTCTGAGATCAGTATGAAAAGATGCAGCGAAAACACTTCCACAGCATCACCTCCAAGGCTTAACGATCATCACAGGGCAGCCAACCGAATGATCGTTTTATCGGGATCGGACACACTGACGCTGTAAAGTTGGTCGGCGTGGCATAAATCCGCCTTCTTTATTATCTGCCAGGGGTGAACTGCGGTTCACTGAAACTTGGCTTTCGTTTGAAGACGCCGTTTCAGCTACCTGCGATGATCTACGAATGACGAATCGGCAGTGGCCTATTTTAAGACAGCGTTTGCCACCTCGAAGCCAATCGGAAGTTCGATGCGTGGACCCCACTGACTTCGGGCTTCATTATCGACCAGAAGGTTCTGTCCCAGGAAACGCTGAGTCCTGTTACCGGGAAAAATATAACTGGTCTGCTGACTGTAATTCACAATTCCTTGCTATAACGCTTAAAAGTGAGGAGAGGTCAATATGCGGTCAGCCTGTCGGTACTCCGAATTGCTGCCATCACAACGCACAACGCCAGGAAGATAAAATATGCTAACAACGTTCCCACCTCGCACATTCGCCCCGACATCGCGTTCACACGCAGAAAAAGTGAAACTTGTGATAAAATTCAGTAAAACAGAACAGAAAATTGTATATTTGCAGAACACAAGTCAAAACTTGAAATAATGCAGTCGGTAGCGTGTGGGGAAGCAGAGATACAACTCCGTCCATTCTTAACATCGGTGCGAGATGGATGTACAGCCTCATTCGGTGCTCCCGAACCACAGTTTGGAAGCCATTGTTTATAGCCAAATGTCCGTCTTCTGGGTTACAGCGCCGTGTAGTGTGGTATAAGTCTACCAACGTTTCACAGGTGTTTGCTGCCTCCATTATCAGGACGTGGGCAGACTTCTACCAGAAGACAGCCGCCTTCATCATCGCCGTCGTGAGAACCTAAAAGCTCACCTCTGACATACGAGTATCTTACATTGGCACCAGATGGCATACGGAGCGGTGATGCAACACCATCTGTTGGTGCGACATGGAACGAAACGCTGGATAGTTCAGAACACCACCACGAGATGCCGACAGTGCAGAATCTACAATTGATACCTGTTGATAAATTTTTTCCAATCGGGATTTGTGGAAATGTCGAGGAAGACAGAGCTTTGTTCTCGAGAACGAAATTTTCGTAACAGGCAATAAATAATGGCGGCGTATCTGCAGCGCCGCTCGCTTCCTTACTTTGAAACGGCGTTCAACGCGACATCAATCATGCGCTACTTGTCAGTTTAACCGGAGAGCGGCAAACAAGTTCCCGCAGGCCGCGCCGGCTTCCCCAAGTTACCAAAACAAGCGCCTAATGCAATTAGAAACAAATCCGCGCTTTCAGTCAGTGCTGAGAACTTGACAATACTTGCTCAGTTAGTCAATTCAAGGAGTTGGCAGCATTTTCTGGCCCCTTTAGGTTCATTTCCGTGTTCACAACGGTCATTATCCTGAGCCAGATGAACCCAATCCACGCCAACATCTTACTCCTCAGTATCGATTTTAATTTTTCCTGCTATCAATGCTTTCGACTTCCGGATGGCCTTCTCCCCTCACGCTTGCCAATCAAAATTATACTTCCTTGGGTAGTATATAGGAGGATAATATTAAAATGGGTCATAGTGAAATTGGGTTAAAGGCTCAGGTGGCGAGATTTTGTGAACACGGTGATGAAGTTTCAGGTTACGTAAGAGGCTGGGAATTTCTTGACTAGCTGAGCGACTATTAGCATCTCAAGAAGGTCTTTACTCCACGAAGTTGGTGGTTAAACGTAGATATTTTTGTTCGTGATCGTTCCACAGGGCGATGTTAAAGATGGCTGTCTTCTGGGCTGTAGCGCCGCGTGGTCTGCCAGAAGACCGCCATCTTCGTGCTCACGGCCGCGAGAACCTCAGATGCGAGGCAAATTCGAAAGATCAAGAAACAAACGGAAATAGTTTGCTGCACGAGAAATCCCGCCCAGGAAGCAGCTCGTAGTTCTGCGTTACCGACGCCAACCAATCGCTGGTGAGTTACGCCCGACATAAGCCCTTCTTACGAAACAGACTTTTCTTTCGAATCCTAAAAACGTGACAACGAGAAGTCACGCGACGGAATCGCTGGCGTCTGCTGACCCCAGCCTCTGCTCGTCATGCCAAGCCAAGCACTGTGTACTCACTGGAGTAGGTGTATTGTAGCTCCCTCCGCAAGTTCTCCTTGATGCCCTCCCCCGCATTCAAGGCCGTGTCGTAAGAGTTGTATATGATGTCGTTCTCCGCCTTGAAGAAGCCAGCCAGCGAATCCGCCATCAGCTTGCAGGTATCGATTCCCGCGACGTTGCTGTACGCATTTTTCTCGTAGATGAGGAACACCTTCTTCCAGTTGTACCTGAGAAAGAACAAGATTGCGCTTGAACTCTGCGGTCCAGGGCGGAGGATGGGTTCCTGAACAGGACACGTAGCACGCGTGGAAGTTTCAGTCGGAGAATCCGAATGGAAGCGACCACAGGCAGCGGGCGCCTGCGAGTGTAGGCCCACGCAGTTGGCTTTTAAACAAAAGGCGATGAACACGTGTTATTCTGATTCGTCATTTCCTCCCGTTTGGGATGATTTTCAGTTGACGTGGATACACCAACCAATCAGCAGGCCACTAGGTCGATCTCTTCACGAATTCTTTTAAAATAATTTTTCCTCAAATAAATAATTTGACGAAATCCCGAAAAGATTTTTAAAAGCAAAATATAATTCTAAAGCACGTATAAAATTACGACTAGTGACAATTCGAATCGAAAGAGACGCTCGCCTTGCGCACACGAAAGCTGCAGCTACGATATGAAACAAATGCAAATGGACGTCAGATTAATTTATATGGAAAACATGCACACGGCTTATTGCGAATGTAAATCGTCAAACAGGACGGCAACATTGACTTTCGAGAG